TTTTTTTTTTTTGTTTTCCAGATATTACATAACATATTGCTCATGGAAAGCCTATGTTAAAAGCAAAAAATTTTAATTTTTCTTCTGCTTAAATTGTAACAAAGAAATAATAATCTTAACAATTTAGAAACTTATTTTGATTAATTTCCTCATTTTAAGTTAAGCGTAGAAAAAAAGCAAACATCATCAAACAACTGCAGGTCTTAACCTACAAGGCATTGTTCAAATGGCGTGTGACGTAAAATTGATGGATTCTGACGTCAAAAATCGAACTGTTTTTACAATGGCTCGACATATGGAAGATCAAATTCATGTCTGAATTTTTTTTTTTTGTTTAATTTTCTTTTCAGCAACTTTTCTGTAAATCATAGTCATTCAGTTTAGAAGTATTTAATTGTTAACATATTACACTGTATTCTACTGTACAATTGTGTATAAAATTAGCAAAATTTAAGTTATATATAAATTTTTAAAATTGATAATTTAAACGGCTTGTGATATTCTGTTGTCACTATCAGCGTGAAAAAATTCCTTGTAATTTGCAGTTGACACACGTTCAACGAAAGGTACAAACGCGTAATTGTTCGAATTTTTTTCATTTTGGCGGTTTCTTTGGAAAACACTGTGGTTGTTATGTGACACTGCTTTATATTGGAATTAAGGTATTTCCAAAATCAGTTCTTGTTTTTTGATTAGCGTATTTCAGCTTTCAGTAGATATTTCTTATCACAATAATTATTGCTTAGTCAACCAGTATTTTAAACATTTATTTTACTATTTTTTTTTTAGCTGCTGTATACCGCAAATGCGTTATTACAATTTTTAATATTATCGCGTGTTCTGAAAACATCTGAAGGTACCTTTGGTTTCAACTTTGTATACAATTTGATGACCGGAACGCAGTGGATTGTATCGGGTCTTTTTCCACGAGTAACACTCTGCGATTTTGAAGTAAGTTTTTCTACAACACTTTACCAATTTATGTTAAATCGCTCAGTCATATTACGAATACTCAGCAAGCTGGTTACGGTTA